CATCCAGAGGAACATGCAGCCCTTGTTGCAGTACTTAGTGTGCAGAAATATTCAGCTCATTTCAACTACATGTACACGAGCAGTACATTTACGTGAAGATTTAAATAATAAAAACATGACTTTATAAATGATTTTATAATGCAAACTGACCATAAGAGAAGAATAAATGTAAATAAACATGTATTTTATGTAGACCTGTCACATTATTACATTAGTAATCAAATAACTTATTTACTTAATCAACTTAATCAAATAAGATTATTTGGGTGATTAATCGCATAAAAAAGGCCAAACAATAACAATGGACTTAACTGAACAATAATGAACCGTACATAGCTTTTTAAGATTGCAATATACTTTAAAAGAGAGAAGAAAAAACTCCACATATTATCTGCATTACAAGCGACAAACATGTAATAGGCATTTCCAGCATCCTCTTTACTCTACAATGATTTATTCATGTTTAGAGACACTGTTACAGCAGTGTTTGAGCCGCTGAGCGGAAGGCAGGAGTGCAAAGACAGGACAAGGGAAAGGGCTACCAACAGATTCCCCAGTGCCACAGGTGCTGTTACTCAGTGCTACTGTCCCAGCGCAGTCTGTCCTCCTGCAGCCAGGAGATTGGCCTTAAAAGCCCCATCAGCACGCCTAACACCCACCTGCTTCCCCTGTGTTTCTCCAGCAGTCAATACCCAACAGTTTGGCCCACAGATACTCGCACCATCTGTCTCTGCCTTCGCAGCCTCCTGTCCTTTGAGCCCCACTGGCCACCTGAGACTACCAGGTGCCACCATGCCAAATCCCCACCAAGTATCCTGATTAGGGCTGTCACTACTGATTATATAAGTAAACGGGAAATCTACTGATTACACTGACAATTAATCGAGTAGTCAGAGTTTGAAATAAATGGCTAGACACTAAAAACTGGCTTAACATAAACAAACTATGTATAGCCTTTCAAAGACAACAAAATATTGAACTAGTAAATATTATAAACTAGGAAGTCTTTTTTCACATTGTTTTGTGAAGTTAATTGCAATTTTATTTGTTTAAACTTGCCTTGTAACATCTTTTCATTTAAAAAGCAGTGCATTTCAATATAGCCAAATGAGTGGAAAGAAAAGCTGTATTTAGGCAGATTTACAGTTGCAGACTCAATCATAGCAAGTTACAGAGCTCAAGCAGCTGGGCTTTAGCCTAGAATTGTGGATGATTTGAAGGGTCCAATGAAATAATGTGATAACAGCATTTTAAAAATAATGGCGTTAACAGTGTCTTATTAACGCATTAACTTTCCTAGTCCTAATGTGTATAGATATGCAGTACAGTATTAAGATCAGAGACCACCTTCCATTTATTTAATTCCTAGCCATTTTTCAGGATATATTGCTGATCAGATTAGATATAAGAAAATCTAATTACACAAGGGAGGGAAAAGTCAAAGGAAAATAAGTGAAAAACACAGAACTTTCCAAAACCAGAGGTCAAAATATTATTAAAAGCTATAAAGAAAATGGGACCCCCAGCAACTGCACAAGACCTGGCAGACCACCAAAACTGTCAACATTAGATAAACAGTTTCTTTGAGAGATGGGAGAAAATCTTTTCTGTTCATTCTTCCACTGTGAAAAGACAACTAAATGATATGGATCTGAATGAATGCGCAGCTGTCAAGAAGCAGTTACTGAGAACAGAAGAAAATAAAATTGGACATCTCGGATGTGGAGGTTTTATGGACGGGAATCTAATTTTGTAATTGGGATTACTTAGATGGTGAGAAGCAGGAAATTTCTAAGACTGAACTTTGCAGGTATTTACAAGAAGCCTGGAAAAATATCCCTGCAAAATTATTTAAAAAACTGAAAGCGGGTCTCCTGAAAAGACGGGAAGATGCCACAAAGGTAAAGAGTGGACACATTAATTACTGAAAAATGAATAACTTGTACTTAATGGCCGTTTTGACAGGAGAGTAAACAAATGGTTTAGGACATTTTGCACAGTACTGTATGATTACAAAAACAATGCTGACAAATGGGTAGCGTGTCTAGTTATTAACGTTTGCTGTCATTGGGAGTTGGATCACATCACAGGAACAAAGCAGAGTCCAAAATCACACAGACGAGGCAACTACACAAGTGACTAGGTTTGATGTGCGTTACCCTCTAGCCCTCAACTAAAGAGAACTCTATCCACCCATGCATCACAGCAACTGATTTCACAAATTAGGCTTGCTTCTTTGTGAAAGCTCCAATTAGTAATCACTGCAATGGGCAGTGCTACAACAGGATGCACAGTTCTGGTCTTGGAGGGCCAGTGTACAGCACAGTTTTTACCTGCTCAAACACATCTGATTTAACTCATTTGTTGACTGCCAGGTTTAGTGCATGTGTCCGAAAAGGGAAACTACCAAACCGTGCTGGTCATCAGCCCTCCAGGACCAGAGTTGTGTACCCCATACCATGTAAAGCTCAGCTGACACTCATCCAACAGCATGAGACAACTCTGTATCCACTATTTTTAAAGAATACTACTACTAGGGCTGCTGCAATGACAAATTTTCAACACCGCAATGTTTAGGACCCTAGACGGTACCACCACCAAAAGCAAAGAGAAGAAGAAGAAGAAGAAGAAGAAGAAGAAGAATTGTTAGGCTAACTTACAAAACTGAAATATTAAAGGAGAATAGGCCTTTCATTCTGATGCATTAGGACAATTAAAGTAATTTAACTTTTCATCTCACATTTACTGCTAGCTGCAGTAAGAGAGCTGAGCCAACAACCATGAGGTTGTGGATTCAAATCCCATGACTGGGTAATCCTTGTTCTGTCCCTGGACAAGGCACTTAATCTCTTATTGCCCCAGGCTGTGCTGCTACCAGTTAGAAGGCAAAATGACCAATGTCCCTTACAAGCAGAACAATACATTATAAGTGACATGATGCGTTGAACATAAAAAAATCAACAGCTTGGGGTGTGCAATACAACGGTGCTTTATTGAATCGTGATAAATCATGTGATAATTAGCCAATAAGCTGTTCTGAGCATATTGTGGAGAATGTCAGAACTTAAAGATCACCAATTTAATACTGTGATAAATATTGTGATATCAAGTACCATAAAAATGTCTTCAAGTATCATGATAATGTATTTTTTACATATGAAAAGCATAAATTAGGACAGGCTTGCACATCATGGTTTAAAACGCACTTCATTTAACATAGATGTGCTGTCATGGGGAAAAAATGCCATTATATCTGTGATGTTCTCAACATTCTACCGTTCGATGATCATTCAGTCCGTCAACAAATAATCGCTGTAGCCCTAGCCATCACTAAAACCAAACCAAACCAAAGTGGAAAAAAAATACTTTCCACTCTGTCCAACATTTTTAAATATGTTGTAATAATAAGTTTGCTCTATGCTCATTGGCCAAACGGAAAATAAAGAACATAACATTCTACAATTGAACATGAAATTGTCCCGTTTTTAAAAACCCCAACTACTGTCATCCAATGTCCTAAAACTAGACAGTTCACACTGACCAAAATACCTTTTAAAACATTCTAATCAGACCAGGTTCTTGTGCTGTGAGTAAACTCAGCGCCCCGCCTGGGGTGGCCATCGTGATGTCCTGGCAGTTCCTGAATAGGGCTTAAAGAGGGGCTCATTAGTGAAATCAGGTGTGGTGGTGCTCATTAGCCCAGGTGTTGTACATAGCTGGAAGGAATACCTGGGTGGCCTGTGATGAATCAGGCTAAACAGCCTACCTTTGACCCAGCAGTTCAGACAAGTGAGGGGACTGATGAGAGTCTTCAAATGAAACAGTATGAGAGTCATTACAAAATGATAGGTTTTGAGGAAGAACAGATCCACAAACAGGTTATAAACAGTCCAGGTGGAACACGTTACAAATTGATGCTATCTGTACTTGAAATGAAGACAGAGGGAGGTGTTCTCGTTTGAAATGATTAAATCGCATATAAAGTGCTGAACTAAAGCATGACTCATTTCTACACTGAAAAAGTACTACAGCATCAGCTCTTCAAACAAAACACGTAAGGCCTCAGTTTTCCCCTGGGGATCAATAAAGTATATCCATATCTATCTGTAATAACTCCCTCTAGGTTCAGGTGAGGATAAGGCAATCTCCATGTGAGCCGAGCTTCTTTACACGCTGGACCAGACTAATTATAAGAAAGCTTTTCTGTGCTGCTGAATGATCAAATACTGGCTTAATCGTTCTGTACCAAGCATGGGGAAAAAACCCTCATAAAAACCTTGGTTTATAACCAACGGAATTGCAGAACTGTGAAAGCGTTCACCTCAAACCCAGCACTCCTGGTTGCCACAGCACAGCTGATCTAATTCGATTTCTTTCATTTTCCCCCTGAGTGGATATGGCAACCGCACACGAGCAGACATTTTCCCTCTCTTGCCAAATCTCATGCAAAATGCTAACACTACTGGATAATACCGAGGGGTGTGCTGGTTAGAAGCAGAGCCACACAGCGTTCAGACTGGGAGCACATGTGGCTGAAGATGCAGCAAGTTTCTCGCAGGCTAACAGCGCCAGTCTACTGACCAAAGCCCTGGACGGACACGGCAACAGGAGAGAGTGGCGGGAATATAACATTACCTGCTGCTGCGTCCTCGTTGTTAGTGAATGTAGTGTCGTCTCGGTCAATAAAAAGCTTTGTAACTGTTTTATGTAGCTAATGTAGAAGCAAGCTCACACAGACCCCCCACATAGGCTCGGGTATGTTAGTTACAAAGATCCGTTGGTGGAGTGACAGTAAACTTGGGCGCTGTTTTGAAGAAACCAGTTCACGACCGTTTGAAAGAGAAGCACTGGCTCATTGTTTGAGCTTCGGCCGCTGTCTATACCAGCCACCGACATACAACAGGCTTTCACCGAGACGCATTTGTCTCTCAGCAGCTGCTGAAGAACTAGTTACGAGCGGAGAGATGGAAAGAAAGAAAGACAAAAAAGAAGGCACTCACCACCCCCATGTCCATCTGCTCGGCCGTTAGCGAGGGCGCCGCTCGAGCCTGCGATAGAAACCACAGCACTGGAACCAGAACCATCTCGGGATAAATAATCCAAAAGCTCGGCGACAAATTCCACTTTAAACCGCTGACAGACTTCATGCCCCCCGCTCCCGGAGCCCGCTGTGGTCACACACAGGGGGCTTCCTCGCCGCATCCACCGTTTATATCACTCAAAATCCGAAACAGTGACATTTATGTGCACTTTTTTGGACTCAACCGTTGCTAACGAACTAACGCTAACTAACCTAGGTTACCTCACCGTTAAACACATAGCGAGTACCGTTCGCCTTACGTTAAAGAAACCCGCCTAAAGGGGGAATGTCAATGAGAGCACACAGAAAATAACGTTAATCTCCGCAGGAGAGTAAAAATGTCTTCAAAACGAAAAATATTAATTTCGTTATATCGGCCGCCGCATATTGAACAGTCTGGCAGAAAAACAGGTCTCGTGAGGCATGCTGAACGACTCTAACGCTACATAAGTTATGCCGTTGGTTTTCCACGCACGCGAGCTTCGGTTTAACGGTCGCCCCGTTTAAATTCGTGCCAGGTTGAGCAGCGGAGATGCAGCGATGCCTTCCTCTCAGCACGGCGGTCTCCGAGTGACGAGCTGTGAGGGAGATGAGAGGAACTTAGTTGTCGGTTGGGAGGAGGGAGTGCAGAAAGAACCGTTATTTTTTGTTTCCCACCTGTTTTCCGGCGAGTCCCGTCTTCCTGCGCTACGATTGGCTAACCGTAAACCCTCTCCTACATTATGATTGGTTAATAGTTCTAACTCACACGCGGCCCGCAGATACAACTAGCCTATCATAGCGCAAGAAGGCGGGACTCGTCGGAAAACGGGTGGGAATAAATGACACGAAGAAAGCACCACTACAGAATTAATAACGCGAGTCTTGCGCATTTCAGACGCCACATCCTGTAAAATATAAAACAAATGCTTGTGTTTATAAATAATGAAGTTGCTGCAAATCAGTAGGATACAGTAGGGTAAGTCTGTAAGGGACTATCAAGAACTGTCGCACAATTCTGCACAAACGTATGAATTTGATGGTAAGCAGAATCCTTACCAAGTTGTGATTAAAGGGGAATTCCACCGGTTTTTCAAAATTTCTCCACAATTCTGTATTGTAGATGTAAACAAAGTCATTCAGAGCGGTTTGTTGTGAAACAATGCATTGTAGAGAAACTATACTCAGTTTTCTTAACAGTGGTGGTGATAGGAACCGGTGGTCACAATGTATACAATATATAACTATAAATATAAGCATTTTATTTGCTATCTGAAACTACTAGTGAACTTACACCTGTCTTTCCAGCTTTTATATGTAGTGTTGATAATGAATAAAAAAGGTAAAAGATATTTTGCATTAATGCCCTGCATGTGTTTTTGAAATACATTTCAGACCAAAACATTATCTCAGATCTATCATAAACCAATTTCTCAGGCATCAGACAACATAACCTTAACCATTTTATCCAATACCTGTCCGTGAGGTACATTTTCCAGGCTCTTAAACTCTTCAGATGTCTGGTTCCTTTAACCACCACTGTGAAAAATGCTAGAAGTTTGTTTAGAGCAGCATATTTGACATCAAACCGCTCTGTGTGACTGTATGACTGTGTACATTCTAACGGTTTAATTTTGCAGAAATGTTGAAAAAGGGATAAAATTATTCTTTGAGGCAAATGAAGGTCATATATAAACAGTGAGACGTTTTAAGTCAATATTAGTGAAGAATGCTATAATCTTGCTTCAGAAATATAATTTGAGTTTTTGGTAGTGGATCCTTTTATATAACCAACAGCTTGTCAATATATGTATATTTAAACTGATTAATATACAGAGTTTTTAATGGAATAATGGGATGGCAGCAGTGTAAACAAGAAAATAACTTCTGTCTCCTGCAGCCTGAAGGAACCATGCCAATAAAATGACAATAAAAAAAGTAGCAGGGTCTAACTGTGCCTCGTGGAAGCTTCTGAATGAGGCTGATAAAAGAGATAAAATCCCTCCCACAGCCCCTAGCTGCAGTTTATTCCCACCTGATGCCCCAATGAAATAAGACTGACACAGATCTGCAGATTCTCGTAACCATCCATAACCCTCCTCTATCCACTGCACTGACATTATAGCAGTGTGGAGGGCATTAATCTCTGCCTTGACATAATGACATCAAAGGACCAAATATGGGGTTGGGTTTTAGAGAGCCTTTTTGGGCCGTGCAGCACATAATGACCAAGCACCTACTAGTCTGTTCCTACAGGGATAATGACGGCTTCACTATTTGATGATATAAACAGCACGCTAACGCTGTGAAAATGACTGTTTGAATGTACTGCAGAACTAGAGGTACTGCAAATTTAGCAAGAGTCGGAGATAACAAATAGCGAGTACGTGGGATGAGGTGTAGGTCTGCAATCATTCCTCATTTTTCAACACATTAAAGTATTAAGAGAGTTCAGCATTACTCTGCAGTCCTGACGGTTATCTACTGTATGCAGTGACAGCCTCCCAGAATTAACTCCAGGCAGCGAGGACAGCAAAGCTGGAGCAGTCACTGCAGACGATGAAAAATGACCGCCTGACATGGCAGGATGCAAAATTGCACCCGGATGACCGAGAGGCGATGGGCCAAAGCTCTGACTTCAAACTCACATAATGAAGATCAGCGTTAAGGAACGTGTAGTGGTTCTGGAGATATGGTGCAGAGAAGGAAAGGAGATTAATGTCTAAGCGAAACTGCTGTAAAGGGAGCGAGGGCCAGTAATGGAGGCTGGGGGCAGTGCAGGTCAGGCGAGGCATGAGTGAGGAGTGACAGGGGCGCACCATTTACTGCTTTGCTGGTAAAGACGGGTACCTAATCAATGCATGCTCATGCATGAGCAAAACATCTATCAAGAAAGTGCAGCGATATCACTATTATGTTTATAGTCCTAATTCAAACTGATTATACCCTTTCGCTGTGCTTCCTCATCATTAGAGGCTTCAGATTTGATGCACTGCAACACTGCTTGGATGCCAGCGAAGTAAACACAGTTTAGAGAAGCTCCTCTGTGACCGCAACAGAGGAAGCAGGCACTGATGGGAATTAATTTAGGCAACATCATCTTTTCATAGAATGTTTGAGCAGGCCAACTTTCATCTTATGTCTCTTTATGGTGATGGAAACATAGCGGCATACATAGCTGATTCCGCATGCTCGAAGAGTGGGAATAATTCATAATGTTATTTCCAGGCTGTGGAAAATTTTATATTTCTTCACACTTGAAAACATCTTATCAATATGCTAAAATATCAAAGTGTGCCCACGTTACTGCCGGCTGGGGTGAGGCTATGGGACAAATATTCAGCGCCAAAATTAATAACTGTTGGGTTCTCCGGGTTTCTCAAGGCTAAACGGACCGGCAGGTCGGCACTTCAAGTTCCTTTGCATTTTCCTGCTGTCAGAGAGGGCTATTAAAATTCATGATGCATGCTCTTCCCTGCTTCATGAAAGAGGAAGATGATATTGTGTGATAAACATGAATGAAGAGTTGTATTTTGCAAAAAAAAAAAAAAAGGTATTTATACTTTATCAGAACAGGGGGTTGTCCACTTTAGCTCTGTGGAATGTTTTATCATCACACAAAGGAAGCGCAACCCTTAATGATTCCACAAACCTCGGCAACTCAGGACTGAAAAGGAAAGGAAAAAAAAAACAAAACAAACAAAAACTGAAGGTGAAAAAGGCAAGTTAAGTCTCCTGGGAGCGAACCTGAGGAAGAAAGGAAATATAGAGCATAATTATTTTAAAAGGTTGAGGTATTTAGCACTCCAGTGATAGGTGTTAGCACTTTTCATCTGTAAAGACCAAGAGGCTCAGAGTATACAAGTGAGCATTCAGGGAGAGTGAACTGACACCCAATTAAATATACATATATTGCCAGAAGCAAACTCCTTCGACTGAAAAGACCGCGTATGCTTGTGAAATACAGAGCTGCTTTATTTTTTAGCCCTCATTACTGTGGCATTTCAAAAGACATCACAGAGAAGGATAGCTCTGTTTCAAAGGCATGATCAGCACAATTACCAAAATATAGAGCACTCACAATTAAGTAGAGTGGCATTTTTCTCCCTTTTTTAAATATAAAAACGCTGTATTTACTGTAAACTTTGTTGCTGTGCAAATAGTAAGCAAATGAATAATTCCATGATGCTGGAGTTATGTTGCAGGGAGTGGTTGGGGGTTGATAATAGAGCTCGGTTATAGCTATGATTAATAAATGTCACGCAACAGCTCCAAGTCCAGAGCCTCCTGCTTGCTCAACGCAGAAGTGTGTCACCGAGCAGCAGACGACTATCAATTATTCCGTCCGTTGGCGCTGGTCGGAGTTGATGATTGAGCTAAAACAAAGTACTCAGCGCTTGATTTTCAGCAACTGCTAACATGGCCGCATCAATCAAAGGAACATCAGATTCCAAACAGCGGGAATGGAAAAAACATGGCACATGACAGAATGTGTGAAAAAGGACCCTCGATTTCCATTCAAATGAGCACAAGTTTTAAGAAAGGCTGCCACTCATCTGAAGCCTTGAGTGGAAAGATTGGAAAGATGCTCCTCTTTCTTTATTCTGAATATTAAATCATCAGAGTAAGCAGGTATTATTTTGGCCTTAAAACTCAATCCGAGACCTTGCTGGAACACTATAGAAAGATCCTTAATGTTATGCACCACTGGAGACTTGGCAAAGGAGGAAGAGAAATCCTGTTTTTAATCTAGGCCCATGCATAAGGAAAAAAAGTGCTGGTGAAAAATATGAAAAACATTAAGCGCACAAATTAATTATCATTTAAACAGATGCTAGGGTTGACCCCAAACAGTAAGAGCTGTCTTGTAGATCCCCATACCTCTTATATTAAATCCAACTAGACTAGGCAATAAATCAATGACACAGCAGTACTATCCTTTTAAAGCTGCCTCACTCTGTCTCTGGGGACAACCTCCTGGGATTCAACTTACATGCTTAAATCAGATCTGAACGAGCTCTAATCTGAATTTCTAATGCAGGCTAGTTTTTATGGTGCGCCATGTTTGAGGTTCAGGGTCGTTGTTTTCTCGACATCCTGTGTGATTTTGTTTACTATGCTGTGTTGTTTTCCTCTTTTTCCCCTCCAAAAATGGTAGAACTTTAAATCATCAGCACTGCTGTGCCCTAAAGGGGAGATTCCCATCAGACAGGTTAAGATTATAGTTCTAAAACACGCGCGCAAATTCGCAAACAGGCAGAAATGCCAACTGGGCATTAATTAAAGGTTGGTCTAACTCCAGGTCTCATGGCTGTGCACTTGTCTGTGAAAATGAACTGAGGTGGAAAGCAAACAGCTCAAGGACAGAGGCACAGTTTGTGACATGAGAAATAAATCAAAACACGAGTCCCTCGAAAGCGAAGCCAGGTCTGCAGCTAATGAGGGCTGTTAAAGCCATATTGGGGCCCATTCGTTCTTCTCCGGTGGTGACTAGATCTCGGCTAATATTAAACAGTTGGCTGTGAAAGGCCTGAAGTAGGGAAGCTGCTGCAGATATCTGTGAACATCCACGCTGC